ATTGCACTTGTAGGTGCTGCTCTCTATTCGGTGGGAGTGTGATGTTAAGTGCCTCCAATTTACTCACGTTTAGTTTAAGGTTTTACAGCTCCCCATACTCTCAGAAGGCATGTAGAAGGTTGGGCAAGGAGATTAATGGGTTGTCCAGGAAAAAGAGCATGTCGTCCACGTAAGTGGCAACTCTATGCTCCACTTGGTGCAGCGTGAACCCCGTGATGCCCCCGTCCCATCTGACTGCCTCCAGGGATAGTTCTAGAGAGAGGGCAAACAGGAGGGGGGACAGGGGAAACCCCTGCCTAGTGCCATTTCAAATAAGGAATGGTGCAGACAGTGCGCCATTGACCCGTATGTAGGCTGTTGGGGTTGTGTAAAGGGCCATCACCAAGGAGAGGAGGTGAGGGTCGAGATGCAGGTGTTGAAGCGTGGTCTTGGTCCAATCCACCTGATCAATGAATTTTTCGGCATCGGTGGAGACAAGCACCAGGTCCTTGCGCATCGATCAAGTGGAGTGGACAATGCAGAGGGCCTGAATGGTAATATCCCTATCTTCTCGTACAGGGACTAAGCCAACATGATCAGGGTGGTCAAGGGAAGGCAACACTCAGTTCAGGCACTTCAGCAGTAGGGTCTCCCTTAATGTAAGAAGGTAAGAAACTCGGAGGCAATCTGGGCCCGAGGCTTTGTTGGCCTTGGACTTTTAAAGGTGGCGGCCAGCTCCTCTTTGGACAGAGGTTGCTCCAGCTCCTCTGCAGCTTCTGCCTTGAACTTTCGGGTTATGTTTTTTGAGAGGAATTTGGTTATCCTGAGTTATCACAGGGGGTCATGTGTGTTTGTGTGTCTGGCGTCAAATTGTACAGTTCTGTATGATATGCTTGGAAGGCCTGTGAGATGTCAGCTGGGGTTCTAGTTTCTGACCCATCGTGTCTTTTGATTGAGTGTATGTGGTTTTGTCTTTGATGCATCGTGTGTGCCAGGAGTCTGCCACATTTGTTGGAGTATTCATACAAGTATCTGTTGGATTTCTGGATTGTGTGTAGATGTTTTTGGGAGAGTAGGTCTGTGAGCTGTCTGCGTGTAGCTGTCAGTTGTATATATGTGTCTTCAGTCAGCTCCCTCTTATGTCTTGTCTCCACGTCTGCTATCTTGCGTGTTAAGTCTGATATTTGTTTGGTGAATTCTTTCTTGCACTGGGTGCAGATTTTAATGAAATGCCCTCTGATTCCTGTGCTAGAAAAATATAGTCAATCCTATTGTATCTGTTATGTGCTGCCGAGTAACAAGAAAAGTCTTTGGTATCACCCTCCAGCAATCCACCAAACCCGTTCTAGCTAGGGCTCGTTTGGCTCTCTGAATGCAGTGGGAGGGGATGGTGCTGGTTCCTCTAGAGAAGTCCATCCGGGGGTCCACGGGAAGGTTTATGTCCTCTGCAAGCACCAGGAGGCCATCACGGAACCTCTCCAGTTGTGTTAAGGTTTTAGCCAAGAACAAATGTTGTCCTTTAATAGGGCTATAGGCTGTGGTGAAGGTAAATTTCTTGGCTGCTATAATGCCTTTCACAAATAGAAATCTGGCTTAAGGGTCAATTTGTGTTGCGGAGCATTGAAACAGGACCGACCCGGCGAAAATGATCACCACACCTGTGCGTTTGGCATCCGGGTTATTCGCATAGTATTCTAAAGGAAATTGACCGTAGCTAATAGTAGGGGCATTGCCCTCTTTAAAGTACATTTCTTGTATAAACGCAACTGAGGACTTTGGTGATCACAGTGACCAGGGGGACGGAGTGCTCTGTGTGTTCTCTGTGGTAATCCTCTGGTGTCTCTTTTCTGAGTATTTGTGTGAACAGCTGTTTTTGGGTCTCGGTGAGGTCTTTGTTGTCTGCCTTGGGTAGGCCCCAGACGCGGATGTTGTTGCCTCTCCCCCTGTTATCCATGTCCTCTTCTTGTCTGCAGAGGTCCAGTAGAACTGCACCCCTGCCTGGCCATAGCATGGTTTATGGCCTGTGAATGCTGTATGGCCTGCAAATTTTCTGCTTCGAGTTCGGTGACCCTCAAGTGCAGTCAGATCCCTGTGCACCTCCATTATTTCTTCTTGTATAACCGTCCGCAGTTTGGTAACCATGGCTGTTTTATCTGTGTTAGAGAACATATTTGCAGAGATAGCCACTAGCTCTGTCGAGATCTGTGTTAGTGTTTCGCCTCGCACTGAGCCGGGTAATTACTCCTCCATACTTTCCGCACCCAGGGAGGCCGGCACCATCTTGTCCCCGGCCCGCGTGTGTCTGATGCGGTCTGGGGTGAACAGGAATTCATCCATTGGGCTAGCCTTTTTTCATCTGTGGGCTTGTGCCTGAGGGTCCAGGGGTACGTAGGCGTCTTGGTTTCCCCATGAGAAGCAGGATGAAGGCAGTTATATGATGCTATGTGGGCTGAGATCACGGAGCCTCTGTGATGTGCGACTTACTCTATTAACTGTCAAGCCACGCCCCCCGGATCCTTTTTTGATCCAATATATCTGCTTGGTTCCTGTCAGCGTAAGTGCCTGAGATCTTTTTGTTCCATACTGTATTTATGGAGTATGCTTACTCATACTCAGCACCCTGTGATTTTATCATTGAGTGCAGTCCCCTTTTTCATTGGAAATCTCTTTTTTTCACCGTCATCATTGCAATATCTTGTCTCTTGCCTCATCATGTTCTCTGTCCACATATTTTTTATAATTTTGCCTCTGATTCAAAAATGATTTCCCTGTCTCTCACCACAATAATTCTAGCAACATCAAAGTTGAAGAGAAATGGGAGAATCTGATCTTCATTCTACTATTGCTTAGATATAAGATGCATGCACAAATGCATACCATGCACCATTGCTTAAAATGATAAGCAAGCTTTACACCACTGTTTTTTTTTTCTATTACTAGTAAAGCTTAGATTCATCAGAACCAGTTCTTAAGTCTCATTGAGAACTAGACTTTAGTGTAAAGAAATAGCCCACAGATTTCTTTTTCACTCCATTTTGATCACTGCTCAAGTGCAAAAAGTAACCAATACAGAGAAAAATAGGAGGAGCAGTAAAAAAAAATAAAAAAATATATATTATATAAAACCATGCATTATCTTTTTTTCTATCAATCATATCTTTGTTTGGTGCCATTCAGATCCTAAACAATCATGCTCCGTCAATTTTTGATTTTGTGGGTTCGTCAATTGGGTACATTTCGTCTCAGAGCTTCAGAATTTGACTGATCACCCTATTAGCCCAAATTTAGAAGAATTGCAGTACAGACTGAAACTAATTCTGTTGTGAACCCTGTATTCAGCTGTCTAGCATGACAATGTATAATTTGCCTTATCTACTACATTGCTATACATGTTCCAAAAGTAAATATAGATAGTTTGACCCAGAGATGTGCCAGAGATAGTTTGTCTGACAACTTCTGCTGTTTATTAAATGTACATAAAATAAATACACTGTGGTATTCTATGATTATGTTAATTTTATTTAAAGGGAAAAAAATCTCTTGCTCTGTCTGGGGTTGAAATAGCACATAAATAGAAACATATGTATTTTTATATGCTCATTATGGTGACTCATGGCACTGCAGTGTTCCTGGTTTCCATGTAAACTGTCCTTATTAAAACAGAATATAAGTAAAAAAATTTTTATAATCCTGCATATTCTATTTACTGCATTAAATATGCAAAAAAATAATGATGTGCCTGCTAGTTGACTACTGTCACTGTTAATATTGTTTATGTTCATTCACCATAAAAGACATAATAAACAAATGTTAGTGTGAATGGTCATAGTTACATGGAGAAGGTAACATCATGCATGAATTGTTCTTATCCACCACAAAGAGAGAATGACAATTACCATGTGCTAGAGGTTTTTCCTGGTTTAAGCATTGTGTACACATTATACACAGTTACAGAGCCAAATTCATATTAAAGGTTATGCTGAAATTGTAATTAGCGTAAAAATCCCCCAAAAAACAAACCAAAAGTGTTTATGCATGAAGCATTTTGTCTAAGCTTCAGATCTGAACTTATTCATTAATCTTGCTTTTACTTTCAGAAAACAAATATTAATTGAAGTTGGATTTTCTAGAAAATATGACTTATTTACTTTTTTTGTGTAAGATATTAATATGTTCTACATGAAAACTTAATTGATGTTTCCTGGTTTTTCAATTATCACTGAGGATGTTAGGGGGGGGGGCATTGTTAGATTTAATGTGTGAAATTGAATAAAGTTTAAAACAAATTAACATAATGTGTGCATAATGTGAGCACGATATACAGAATCTGTTAATTATTTTTCAGATGAGGGGAAGAAATAAATGAATAGTGCCTGCACTGCAATATATTACTGTTCTTTGTATGTGTGTAATTTTCATAATATTCCACTTTCAGGTCATGTAATAAATACATTTAACCCCTTAGTGACCGCGGACCTATGAGGTACGCCCGACAAAAACCGGTCCTTAAGAAACGCAGATGTACCTCATACATCCGTGGCTAATTTGAGTGCTGGAAGTGATCATGATCGCTGTCGAGGCATCGTACAATACTCCCCCTCACTGCCGGGCACCTGAGTTATCACTCCCCCTGGAGCGATCACGTCCAGGTTGGCACACATGGCGCTGGGGGTGTAGAGCAGCGCATCGTAAACCATCAGGCAGGCTTCCAATGCTCTGCCTGTACTGAGTGCCTCGAGGGGTTGAGGCAATCAGTAAAAGTAAAAAAAAAATGAAAATTAATAATAAATTAATTAAATTAAAAAAAATGAGCCCCTACCCTTACACCCTCTCCTTCCCCATGTACTTACCGATCGCCCAGACAGTACCCCCTCTGCAATTTAGGACCCCCAGTGGCCAGCAGCTAAACCGAGCGAACGTCTCCTCACAGAGATCCGCTCAAAACCAAAGATAACGACGTCTAAAGCCACAGAAAACACAGAGAATTTACCCGAGACACAGATCACCCCCAAGCAGAGACGATGGGGAAGAAGAACAAGAGAAATCAGGGCCCTGCATCTTTCGAGATCCCACAGAGACCTAAGATGGTGTCTGAGGCCTGCTCTACACCTGAGGCATCTGTAGCCTCCCTAGAGGACAATGAATCGTCACCCTCACCTCGATCGGATGCCAGATCCTACACACCAGAATCCGAGGATGACGAGGCCCCTGCCACGAAGGGTGATATAAAGAGACTCCTGGTTGAGCTAAGGCAGGTCTGGAGAGAAGATCTTCAGAAGGTCTAATCAGACGTGGAGGAGGTACGCCGGACGGTCCAAAAAATCCAAGCTACTGACCATAGCCTGCAGGAGCTCACCTCACAGGTATAACAACTGAGATGCACAGTGACCACACTGGAGGCAAGACACAGTGGTTAAAACCACCGCCTCTGTGGTGTCCCCAAAACAGTAGACAAAACACAGCTCCTGCTCTATGTCCACAACCTCATAGCAACCACGGGCATTAAAGGCACCACAGACAAGCCACAGATCATTACGGCATTTCGGGTGAGAAAATCGGCAGCAGCCCCTAGAGAAGCACCCAGGGACATCATTATTATGACCCGGGACATCTCAGTGAGATCCGCCATAATGACCCCATCCAGAGAACTTGGGACGGTACCTCACGAGGGGCACAGGGTAGCTATATACTGAGATACGCAATTCTCTGCTCTCACGGAAAAAATAAAACTGGCATCTATATAGCCAGAAACTAAGAGATGCTAATATAAGGTACCACTGGGGCATGGAAGGGTCCCTCTCAACAGACATCAAGGGAGAGAGCCATACACTTGTCTCGGAGGATGACCTGGACAGCTTTCTGCAACTCGCAGGACTGTCACCACTGCAGCAGCAGGGGGCTCCACCACCTACAAAAACACCAGCTGAACCAGAGAAAATCAACAAGCTCAGGCAAGGCATGTTACCCGGCAACAAAGTCAAAAGACTGACAGCAGTGCCCAGAAACGCTGTAACTGGATCATCCAAGTTAAGAAGAGGGACACATCCAGCCACGGTCGTTGACCTGTAAAGGTACAGAGGAGAGCAATCCCAGGACAGACCACAGCCTGCTAGAAAAAGCAGACCCACTGGAGTAAATATAACACGAAAACATATGGTTCCCATGACTTTCCCATGCATTCCCTAATATGGTACAGTGGAGAGACGCTTTGCATACTGCGCTCCAGATCTTCACACAGCCACATAACCAAGCGGAGGACATACGTGTTAATTCCTAAAGTTATTAAGTGACCAGCAATGTAACATATATTATGATCTGCTTTTCATAATAACAGCTCAGCTACAGACTGCAAGGTTTGCACCTAAAACTTAATGTAATGCATTTCTTAATTTAAAGCTGCTTGGACACACAGGCAGAGAATAGAACCAGTGGAGGAGCAGTACTGTAATGTCTAATCCCCTCATTGCACAGTGCTTAGCTACGGCTGTAGTGTTAGATTTTACCGGGTATGGGTACTAGTGCTTGTTCTCCTCCAGGGATATTATCAGTATTTGATAACCTGTGCACACCCATGATTCAGAGATGTTTATTGTTTGATTGGGGACAAGATGGGGTCTACTGACAACTGGCTTCTGATCTAGGGCAGAATGGAAGGAACGCATAGTTTTTGATTGGGGTACTCTCGGTCCCAAATGATTATAGCCCACATGAAAATAACATGTACAGTGCCTTGCAAAAGTATTTACCCCCCTTGGCGGCATTTTTCGTGTTTTGTTGCCTCACAACCTGGAATTAACATGGATTGTTTTAGAATTTGCATCATTTAATTTACAGAACATGCCCACAACTTTGAAGATTTTTTTTTTCATTATTGTGAAGCAAACAACAAATAGGACAAAATAACAGAAAAAGTCAATGTACATAACTATTCACCCCCCTAAAGTCAATACTTTGTAGATCCATCTTTTGCGGCAATCACAGCTCCAAGTCACTTTGGATAAGTCTCTATAAGCTTGCCAAATCTTACCACTGGGATTTTTGCCCATTCCTCCTTGAAAAACTGCTCCAGCACCTTCAAGTTGGATGGTTTGCACTTGTGAACAGCAATCTTTAAATCTGACCATAGATTTTCTATTGGATTGAGGTCTGGGCTTTGACTAGGCCATTCCAACACATTTACATGTTTTCCCTTAAACCACTCAAATGTTGCTTTAGCAGGGTGTTTGGGGTCATTGTCCTGCTAGAAGGTGAACCTCCATCCTAGCCTCAAATCACGCACAGAGTGGTATGGGTTTTGCTCAAGAATATCCCTGTATTTAGCACCATCCATCTTTCCCTCAACTCTGACCAGTTTCCCAGTCCTGGCTGCTGAAAAACATCCCCACAGCATGATGCTGCCAACAACTTGTTTCACTGTGGGGATGGTGTTCTTTGGGTGATGTGATGTGTTGGGCTTGCACCAGATATAGTGTTTTTTGATGGCCAAAAAGTTAAATTTTAGTCTTATCAGACCAGAGCACCTTCCTCCATACATTTTGGGAGTCTCCCACATGCCTTTTCGCAAACTCAAAATGTGCCATTTTGTTTTTTGTTGAAAGTAATGGCTTTCTTCTGGCCACTCTGCCATAAAGCCCAACTCTATGGAGCGTACGGCTTATTGTCGTCCTATGTACAGATACTCCAGTCTCTACTTTGGAACTCTGCAGCTCCTCCAGGGTTACCTTAGGTCTCTATGCTGCCTCTCTGATTAATGCCCTCTTTGCCCGGTCCGTGAGTTTTGGTGGGCGGCCGTCTCTTGCCAAGTTTGCTGTTTTCCCATGTTCTTCCCAATTGGTTATGATAGATTTGGTGGTGCTCCTGGGGATCATCAAAGATTTGGATATTTTTTTATAACCCTGACTTGTACCTCTCAACAACATTGTCCCTTACTTATTTGGAGAGTTCCTTGGTCTTCATGGCAGCGTTTGGTTAGTGGTGCTTCTTGCTTAGGTGTTGCAGCCTCTGGGGCCTTTCAAAAAAGGTGTGTATATGTAATGACAGATCATGTGACACTTAGATTGCACACAGGTGGACATCTTTTCACCAATTAGGTGACTTCTGAAGGTAATTGGTTGCACCAGAGCTTTTTATGGGCTTCATAACAAAGGGGGTGAATACATACGCACATGCCAATTTTCTGTTTTCTATTTCCCGAGAATATGGAATAAACATACCACCTAGGAGGGGTGAGAAAATCAATTTTTATTCTATAATTTTATACATACACACGTATAATGTGTGTGTGTGTGTGTATATATATATATATATATATATATATATAAAATATAAATTGAATTTTTTGTTTTATAAAAAACAAATAAAAACGCTTACTTTTGTGACAGGGTTTGTGACTAAGTGGCTACTACAAATACCCTGTTTTGAATACCCTGGGTTGTCTACATTTGAAAATGGTATACCATGATGGGGTTATTTCCCATTCCTGGGCTACCATATGGTCTCAAAAGGCAACACAGACACAGCAAACCAATTTGGCAAACTGATTTGGCCACCCCAAACTTTGACCCTGTAACATTCCAAAACACCATAAAACCTGTACATGGGGCTATTGTTATATTCAGGAGATTTCGCTGAACACAAATTTGAGTGTTTGAAATAGTAAAACTTATCACGACGATGAAATCACCAGTAAAAGTGCAGATTTTGTGTAAAAAAAAAAATAAATGAAAAAAACAAATGTGAATTCTATCTTTGGAAAGTGTTTGTGGCTAAGTGGCTACTACAAATACTGGAAATACCCTGTTTTGAATACCCTGGGTTATCTACATTTGAAAATGGTATACCATGATGGGGTTATTTCCCATTCCTGGGCTACCATATGGTCTCAAAAGGCAACACAGACACAGCAAACCAATTTGGCAAACTGATTTGGCCACCCCAAACTTTGACCCTGTAACATTCCAAAACACCATAAAACCTGTACATGGGGGCTATTGTTATATTCAGGAGATTTCGCTGAACACAAATTTGAGTGTTTGAAATAGTAAAACTTATCACGACGATGAAATCACCAGTAAAAGTGCAGATTTTGTGTAAAAAAAAAATAAATGAAAAAAACAAATGTGAATTCTATCTTTGGAAAGTGTTTGTGGCTAAGTGGCTACTACAAATACTGGAAATACCCTGTTTTGAATACCCTGGGTTGTCTACATTTGAAAATGGTATACCATGATGGCGTTATTTCCCATTCCTGGGCTACCATATGGTCTCAAAAGGCAACACAGACACAGCAAACCAATTTGGCAAACTGATTTGGGCAAGCACAAACTTTGACCCTGTAACATTCCGAAACACCATAAAACCTGTAAATGGGGGGTATTGTTATATTTAGGAGAGTTCTCTGAACACAAATTTGAGTGTTTGAAATCGTAAAACTTATCACGACGATGAAATCACCAGTAAAAGTGCAGTTTTTGTGTAAAAAACAAATTAAAAAAACAAATGTGAATTCTATCTTTGGAAAGTGTTTGTGCTAAGTGGCTACTACAAAAGACTGGACATACCCCATTTCGAATACCCTGGGTTGTCTACTTTTACAAATGGTATGCCATGATGGGGTTTTTTCACATTCCTGGGCTACCATATGGTCTCAAAACGCAACACAGACCCAGCAAACCAATCTGGCAAACTGAATTTGGCAAGCCTTATATTGACCCACTAACTTTCCAAAACACCATAAAACCTGTACGTGAGGGATATTGTTATACTCTAGAGACTTTGCTGAACACAAATATGAGTGTTTGAAATAGTAAAACTTATCATGACAAAATCACCAGTAAATTGCTGTTTTTGTTTTTCAAAAAAATACAAAAAACAAATATGAACGCTACTTCTTTACAAATGGTGACATGCTTTATTAAATGTAAGCTATTAAAGCTAATTATAATAAATATTGCAAATTGTGTTTAAATGATTTCTTTAAAGGGCCTGAGATGTTTGAACAGGCCAAAAAAAAAAAAACACCCAGAACATCTGTCCATTTATTTGGCCAACACTTTCCTTTCTGTAGAACTGGATGTTCAACTACCCATACTACTCTGATCGTACAACTTTAAAACCACAAGCTTCTATTAAGTATTCTGCATTATTTGCTGGCAAACTTTACTACTTTCATCCAATATTTATTCATTTTTTTAGTTTGTATTCAAATATTCCTACTAAAATATACTGTAACTGCTGATATGAAAAGTTAATTTATGTATCCTTAAGTTACATATAACTAGTAATC